AAGCCGCTTTTGTCTGTTTACCTGCTTGTTGGATGAAACCAGAAAGGTTCCTCTATGCATTTCCCATGGGTGAGGCAAGTGGAAAACCGGCAAAAAGCTCCTCTCCGGATGCACGTCTGCCCGTGGGAGTTGCCAGGGGCCTAGCCCCGAAGGGGACACAGCTGTCCCGAAACCGAAAAAGGACCCAGCGGTCCGAACTGAAAAAGTAAAAAAGCACCGCTCCTGGAGTGGGATCCCATGCCTGACCTTCAGGAAATGTACCCAACAAGTGAAAGAAGAAATAAAAAGCAAGATGTCAGGTGGCAGTGCTTGCCCGTGTAAGTCATTGAACTGAGTGGGCAGGCCTAAGCTAGGCCAGCATAATGCCTGAACCTTTCACTTGGGACTTTGCTACTAGGCTACTTTTAAGAAAATTTCCAACAGTTATCAATAGTCTCCCAACCAAAAAAAGCCCAGGCCCAGGTGGTTTCAGAACAGAATTCTACCACATGTTCAAAGAACTAATGCCAATACTTTTCAAATTATTGCACACAATAGAAACAGAAGGAATATTGCCAAACTTTTTTACGAGGCTACAGTTACCCTGATACCCAAACCACACAAAGACACAGCTAAGAAAGAGAATTACAGACCAGTTTCCCTCATGAACATAGATGCAAAAATACTCAATAATAAAATACTGGCAAACTGAATCCAAGAACATATCATCCACCAAGTAGAATTCATCCTAGAGGTGCAGGGATGTTTCAACATAACAAAAATCCATCAATGTAATCCACCATATAAACAAACTGAAAGAAAAAAAACACATGATCATCTCATTAGATACTGAAAAGGCTTTGGACAAAATTCAGCATCCCTTCATCATAAAGGTCTTGGAGAGAATAGGGATACAAGGAACATACCTAAACAAAAAGGCAGTATACAATCACCCAACAGTCAACATCAAACTAAATGGAAAGAAACTCAAATCGATCCCACTGAGATCAGGAACAAGACAAGTCTGCATACTCTCTCCATACCTATTCAGTATAGTACTTGAAGTTCTAGCTAGAGCAATAAGACAACAAAAGGAGATCAAGGAGGTACAAATTGGAAAAGAAGAAGTCAGACTCTCTCTATTTAGTATTATAGTATGCATCAGTGATCCCAAAAAAATTCTACCAGGGGACTCCTACAACTGATAAACACCTTCAGTAATGTAGCAGGATACAAGATTAACTAAAAAAAAAAAAAAAAAAAAAAATCAGTAGCCCTCCTATATACAGATAATAAATGGGCTGAGAAAGAAATACCACAGTAGCCACAAACAACATAAAATATATTGGGGTAACTCTAACCAAACAAGTGAAAGACCAATATGACAAGTTTTTAAAGAAAGACAGTAAGTCTTTCCGCCAAGGCACCGGAGCCCTGCCGCCACATGGGCGCTTTCTGCCAGGCCGCCCGAGGTCTGCCCGCCATCACGTTAAGGTCCCAAGTAACACAGAGAGACTTATATTAGGCACAATGCTGCTGGGCAATCCCTAGGAGTTCTTACTTGCTTGCTCAGTCTTAATTATCATCCATAATCATAAGACTTACCTTATGGAGGACGCCTTCCTCTGGTGTTCTCTTCCCAGGTCACATGGCAACTGCAGAGCAGAGAGCAGGAGTAAGAGAGAAAAGGAACGACTTCCCTCTTGCCCTTGCTTATATATGAGTCTGTCTGCTATGTCATTTCCTGCTTGTATCGCAAGACTTCTTTACTACATTTCCCAGAATCCTCCTTGACTCCTAGTCCCATCTATCTTCTTTTCCTATTGGCCAACAGTACTTTATTCAACAACCAATAAGATAAACATATACACAGAAGGACATTCCCCATCAAGATCGCAGAAAATGGAAAGATCTCCCATACTCTTGGATAGGTGGCAATCCTGCCAAAAGTAATCAACAGATTGAATGCAATCCCCATCAAAATGCCAGCACAATTCTCCACAGACCTGGAAAGAACAATGTTCAACTCCAAATGGAAAAACAAAAAGCCCAGGATAGCCAAAACAATCCTGTACAATAAAGGATCATCTAGGGTCATCGCCATCCCTGACTTCAAGCTCTATTATAGAGCCATAATCCTGAAAACAGCTTGGTATTGGCATAAAAGGACAGGTGGACCTGTGGAATCAAATCGAAGACCCTGATAATAACCCACACACCTATGAACACCTGATTTTTCACAAAGAAGATAAAAATATAAAATGGAAAAAAGAAAATATGTTCAACAAATGGTGCTGGTATAACTGGCTCTCAACATGTAGAAGACTACAAATAGATCCATATCTATCACCATGCACAAAACTGAAGTCCAAATGGATCAAAGATCTCTATATAAATACGTCTACACTGAATCTCACAGAAGAGAAAATGGGAAATACCCTTGAAAGCATTGGCACAGGACACTACTTTCTAAATACAACACCAGTATCACAGACACTGAGAGCAACAATCAATAAATGGGACCTCCTGAAACTGAGAAACTTCGGTAAAGCAAAGGACACAGTCAACAAGACTGTGGCTCCCTACAGAATGGGAGAAGATCTTCACCAACCCCACATCTGGCAGAGGGCTGATCTCCAAAATACACAAAAAACTCAAGAAACTAGATGTCAAACTACCAAATAATCCAATAAAAATGGGTTACAGATCTAAACAGAGAACTCTCAACAGAATAATCTCAAATGGTGGAAAGACACTTAACGAAATGCTCAACATCCTTAGTCATCAGGGAAATGCAAATCAAAACCACTCTGAGGTTCCATCTTACACCTGTCAGAATGGCCAACATCAAAAACTCTAATGGTAGCTTATGCTGGAGAGGATGTGGAGAAAGGGGAACACTTCTCCACTGCTAGTGTGAGTGTGAACTTGTACAGCCACTGTGGAAATCAGTATGGCGGTTTCTCAGAAGGGATCAACCTACCACAAGACCCTGCAATACCACTGTTGGGCATATACCCTAAGAAGGCACAGTCACACCACAAAGGCATTTACTCAACTGTGTTTGTAATAGCCAGATCTTGGAACCAAACTAGATGCCCTTCAACTGAAGAATTGATAAAGAAAATGTGGTGTATTTACACAATGGAGTACTACTCAGCGGTAAGAAACAGTGACATCCTAAAATTCTCAGGCAAATGGACAGAATTAGAAAATATCCTGAGTGAGGTAACCCAAAACCAGAACAACAAATGTACTATGTACTCACTCATAAGTGGATACCAGACATGAAGCAAAAAGACCCAGCCTACAATCCATAACCCCAGAGAAGCTAGAACCCTCTTCTAGAAACAGATGGAAGCAGATGCAGAAATCCACAACTAACCAATGGGCCAAGCTCCTGGAGTACAATTGAAGTGAGGGAGGAGTGACAGTATCAACAAAGGAGTCAAGACCTGATGTGAAACCCCCTGAATCAGCTGACCTGAGCTAGTGAGAGATCACTGACTCAGGTCTGACAAATGGGGAACCTGCCTAAGACTAAACTAGACTTCCTTAATATAGGTGACAATGGTGTGCCTGGGACAATGTATGAGGCCACTGGCAGTGGGTCCAAGATCTAACTGTAATGCACAAACTGACTTAGTGGAACCATTCTATATGGAGTGATCCCTGTTCAGCCTAGAAATGGGTGTGTGGGGATGGGGAGGTGCCTTGGTCCTGCCTCAACTAGATGATGGGACAGACTTAGTAAACTAGACTTCCTTAATATAGGTGACAATGGTGTGCCTGGGACAATGTATGAGGCCACTGGCAGTGGGTCCAAGATCTAACTGTAATGCACAAACTGACTTAGTGGAACCATTCTATATGGAGTGATCCCTGTTCAGCCTAGAAATGGGTGTGTGGGGATGGGGAGGTGCCTTGGTCCTGCCTCAACTAGATGATGGGACAGACTTAGTAGACTTCCTAGTGGAGGCCTCACCGACTCCAAGGAGCAGATGGGAGGTGGGACGGGAGGAAGCAGGAGGAGAGAAGGGGGCGGGGGACTGGGATTGGAATGTAGAGAATAAATTAATAAAAAAATGTTTAAAAAAAAAGGCAGTAAAATCTGCCACCATGAATGAAGCCCTTTCTGTTTGTCTCCTCTAATTCTGTCACCTACCACTGCTGTCTCCTCCACACTGGCTAGGGCACTGCTCTTCCTTGTTTTTTGGGGAAGGAGGGGGTTTGAGACAGGGTTTCTCTGTGTAGCCTTGGCTGTCCTGGAACTCACTCTATAGCCCACGCTGGCCTTGAACTCACAGAAATCCTCCTGCCTCTGCCTTTAATCCCAGATGTGCCACCACTGCCTGGCCTCTTTGTTTTTGAGGCATGGTTTTACTCAGAAGTCCTGGTTTGAAACTCACTACGTAAACCAGGAGAGTCTTGAACTCATGGAGATCACCTGACTCTGCCTACCAGTGCTGGGATTAGAGATGTGTGCCTCCACACCAGGCCCCAACATATCAAGCATGTCCCCACCTTGGGCCTGATCCTTTTTTGCTCTTGTCACCTAGAGTCCTCTGCCATCCCTTGTGTGTCTTTTTAGCTCGTGTTATGTGTTGGTTATTTGCTTGCATGGCTCCTGGTGCTTTCCATCCTCATGTGATGTGTTGGTTATTTGCTTGCATGGCTCCTGGTGCTTTCCATCCTTAATATTCTTTTCTTCCTCAAACACATCACCACTGGGGTTCACACTCCACACTCATCACTTTGTCATGGGACCTCCTGTTTATGCCCTGTTTCTGGTGGTGGGATTGTATGTGGCAAATAGTAGACACATACTATGTGGCCACCAAACTGGTGAGATGCTTTTTCTCCAGGAAGAAGTTCCTTTGTATAAGTTTGAGTAGTCCCTTCACTTACCACTACAATTAAAAAAAGAAATGCCTAGGGGAAACCACTGTTCTGTCCTATGGTTGGATTTCAACTTTGAAGCAGTTGTTTGTGTTTAATCCTGGGGTGTTTTAATTTCAACTGTGCCTGTGTGTGTGTCCTCTAGGGAAGATCCTACCGTGACCAACAGCTGCTGGTTCTCAAGAAGCACCTAGAACAGAATTACAGGAGCAGAGATCGAAAGTGGATTGTTCTATTTCCTGAAGGGGGCTTCCTCAGGAAGAGGAGAGAAACAAGCCAGGCATTTGCCAAGAAAAATAACTTGCCATTTCTTACACATGTCACTTTGCCAAGGTTTGGGGCAACAAACATTATCCTGAATGCCCTTGTTGCTCGGCAGGAAAATGGAAGCCCAGCAGGAGGAGACGCTAGAGGTTTAAGTAAGTGCTGTAGCCTTTCTTGCCTTGTTTGACTGAAGTGTTTTCTACAGTTCCAATCCTTTTTTTGTTTTTGTTTTTTGGTTGTTTGTTGTTGTTGTTGTTTGGGTTTTTTGTTTGTTTGTTTTTGTTTTGAGACAGGGCGTCTTTACGTCTTTACGTAGTCTTGAGCTGTCCTGAAACACTGTAAACCAGGGAGGTCTCAAACATAAGAGATCCACCTGCCTCTGCCTTTTGAGTGCTAGTTGAAGGTCCTGCACCACATGTCTGTTCCAATTCTTTTTAAATAACTTTTGACAATTGGAATTAACAGTCAGGAGAGGATGAAGTTATTATCTCTTCATGTTTCTCTTTGAAGCAGTCGATGCTCACAATAATGCACTAAAATAAGGACAAGCACGAAGTCAGCCATGTCTTTCCTGCCTGCCTGTTGTCACTCAGGATGATTTCTAACACTAATGATGCAAGTTACTTTTTATTTATTAAATTTAGAAGGTATTGTTTGCTTTTATAGGCAACATAGTTAATGTAGCTTGTCAGTATTTATTAAGATCCCTAAGGTATTAATAAATGACTCAATCATCCTACTACATAATTATCCAAAGGAATAAACAATCTAAGTCAGGCTTATTGGCTCATGCCAGTGACTCTAGTACTGGTAAGTCGGAGGAGGAGGAGGATCGCCTCAGATTCAAGGCCAATGTAGTAAATTCTAGGTCTGCCTAGGCTGCAAAATGAGACTGCGTCAAAAAGAAATAATCATAATCTGAATATAGGTGATGAAAAGTCAGAGTTTTATTTATAGTAAACCAGACAGAGGAAGACTGGGTAAGCAGACTCTCACATGTCTATAACACAGACACATAGTGCATATGGAGAGTTGGGGTTGCTGGCCAAATACAGTACTTTAGGGCGGGGAGGGACAACATACAAGTTTTGTGAAAATAAGGTGAACTCTGAACTAAACTGTCAGACAGCAGGAAAGGAGTGACAGGAAAGACACCACCGTGTTAGCAGAGATCATCCCATGAGCTGTAACAGTGTGGCTCATTCTTCAGAGATCTAAAATAATGAACACATACCGTTTTAAAAGCCAGGAAAGAGTAAGCAGTGCTCAGTGATACAGCTCCCTGGGAATGGGCCAGCAAACCATGAAGTTTCACGGAAGCTGTGCTTACAGTAGTAGCAAGAGCAGCTTCATCCAAGCCACTTCTATTACAAAATCTTTCTAGATAATCAGCTCAAAGAGACTCGCAAGGTCAGTTTCTTTGATGGCATTTTTTAAATTCTTTTAGTATTATTTAAATCAGTGCTGAGATAATTGGCTGTCAGAAACATTTCAGATTCTGTACAGTACATATGTAGAAATAATGCCCATGAAATTACACAGCGCCTTCCCTTTCGTTTGCTTTTTCTGAGTGGCTACTTGGCAGTCGGCTTTGTTAATCTTCCATCATCTACTAAAAAGGCAAATTGAAAGAGTCTTTTAATAGAAAAGGAAAGTTCAGAGTAGCTTCACTGCTGCAGAGACACTGTGGCGATGTCAGTCGGGCCAAGCTGGAAGCAAAGGTCTTCCATAGGCCACTAAAAAGGCTGCTGTTTGCACAGTCCAGCCAGGCAGTGCCCAGTGGTGATCTGGACCTCAAAGGAAGGACAATTGTGCTAACAGTTGCCTGGCAATTAAAAAAGAGACTAAAGGAGTTTATTATTTATCCTTACTTTTATATTTAAACTTTAAGTCACCAGAATGCCTGAGAAGTATTGTACTGTTTTTTTCTGTTTTGATATTTTTCAGTGTTTTCTTTGGTGTTCGTATGCATTAGTATTTTATCCTCTGTGGACATAAACTCTACTTTTGTGTTTGTAATGTGTGCACCAGGCACATGTCAGAATTCTCTTCTGCCTAGTGACCTTTAACGGCAACAGGATCTTTTGCTTGCATATTGTGTGATAACTCATCCTGAACTGAACACTGCTGGGCTTTTTACACTTCCTTTCCAAACATAAAGTTCAGAGACCTTGCAGTGACTGTCCATGAGCTGCCAAGTGCACTCTAAATTGTTAGCACATTTTTTTTTTGTCACATCTCCCTCTACACGTCTCTCTGTCCTTTAGTTCATTTAGTTTTGATTATTTTTGCTTTGCTTTGCTTTGGTTTTTGGTGCAAAATTATGTAACTCAGCTGGCCTTGAACCACTCACCCTCCTGTCCTGCCATGATCTTCCAAGTTCTGGGGTTACAGGTATGTGTCACCATGCTCAGAGGAAAATGTCCCTTCTTACAAATTGTCCCTCCTTCAGAATGTTGCTCTAAAACCTTTTAAGTTATTTAAAGCTGGTTTTAATTTCTAAGAAGGAAAAGTAACGCATTATTGACTCCTCATACAATGTAGACTTGGGCTGGAAGATGATGGAACTAGATACTTCACTCATAGAACAGATAATTACACTTCAAGCCCTGGCAGCCAATGCTCTCTGTGAGAGCCCCTCTGTTCTTGCTCAGCTTTGTATTCATTGGTGAGGAGAGAACAGTGCGAAGGCCCCGACTGAATGGAACTTTCCATCTCCTCTACTGACCGTGGCCGCTCCTGTTGAAGTGCTTTGTTGTGTAAAAATGCTCGATTTTATCTCCATTTTCTGTATTTGTTCATGCCCCCTAAGTGCTAGTGTTATAAATCATGACTTTTGTTTACATTTATTGATTTGGTTTGGAAGTCTGCTTTTCATTTTTATGATATATGTTTTACCTTCTTGAAGACTGATCTGTGTAGGAGTGACAATATGTAATAAGACCTTGCTTGTGCATAATTCACTTAAGATTTGAATGAGGTATGTTTAGAGTTGTGTTATTTGTTTGGATGTAGTCTGCTCTGTAGTAAGAGCACCTTAGTTCTATGCTGAATGCAGTGTAGAGCAGCAGGGGCGGAGTCTACCTTGTTCTCACAGCCCCAGCCATTTGTGAGCTCTGTACTGCACAGACAGAAAGCCCCTCCCAACTCAAGTCACCTTTGCTTCATTTTCAGGGTGCAAACCAGGAGGCCTCCAGTGGATAATAGACACAACCATAGCTTATCCCAATGCTGAGCCAGTAGATATTCAGACCTGGATCCTTGGGTACAGGAAACCAACAGTCACTCATGTCCATTACAGGTCAGTACCGTAACTCAGTGTGTCTAACAGAGCTACCTCAGGACACTTTGAGTGTTTTAACTAAACCACACAGTAGAAATATTCACATGGCCATGTTTATAAGAAATGAAAAATCATTCTAATGCCAAATTTTTAATATGAAAATTCATTTGAAGTAGTTATTTTCACTGATGATAAAGATTTCCAAAACCAGCGTTCCACGGCGCTGTGATTACTCAGTTGCCTGACATTCTTAAGTAGCAGTGCTGTAGAGTGAGTATCAAGGATAAATGTACTCACAGGGGCTAAGTAGACCTACATGAACAGAAACAAAATTTCTGTAAAATCATTAATCATATTTCTGAATGTCTTTCTTAATAACTCAGGTATATTGTACCTATAAATTTTTATTTTTTTGTACCTATAAATTTTTAAAATTTATTTTTAAATTTTTTGTGTATGTGCACGAGTGCAGGTGCTGAGATAGGTCAGAGGTGTGTCTGTCAGAGGTTGTGAGCTGCACCCAGTGTGGGTGTTGAGAGTGGAATCCAGGTCCTCTGCAAGAGTAGATGTCTCTCCAGCCCCTACGTTTTAAATTTATCTTATTATGCTGATGTCCATTGCATAAATAACAGCAAAAATATTCAGTGGCTATTTTGTGCTAGCTTCTTAAGATTCTTTTATATAAACTTTTTGAGGGAGTTTCATATAAATTCATGAAGATGTTTGCTTGGCATTAATGATCCATATATAGATTTGGCCACTTTATAAGCCATTTAACTTCGCTTGTCAGAGACTTCAACACATGTCAACAGATAGAGACATGTAAGGAATCCAGCCTCAGGAAGAGCACAGCTACCACAAAGGTCCCTCAGAACAAGAGGAAAACTGCTCAAAATCCATACTATCAACAGCTGATGTATTTGCATACGTGCTTTAGACTATTGCCTCAGTATTGTTCAAATACAGATGGAAAAATTTGAAACTTAAATTTTCCAACTATAATATGATGACTGTGCTAAGTCATCACTCTACTCCTGAGCTATATCCTCAGCCCTGAACAAAGAGATTTTTGTTTGTTTGTTTGTTCAGTCTTTTGAGACAGGGTTTCACCGTGTAGCCTTGGCTATCATAGAACTTGCTCTGTAGATCAGGCTGGCCTCAAACACACAGAGATCCACCTGCCTCTGCCTCCTGAGTGCTGGGATTAAAGGCATGTGCCACTACTGCCTGACTGACCAAGATTTCTTTTTCCTTTTTTATTAAACAGTGACTAAGATACTATTTTTATTTATGTATATCTCCCTGTGTGTATTCCACTTGTGTGTAGGTACCCATAGAGGCCAGAAAGGACATCAGTTCCTCTGGAACTGGAGGTACAGGAAGTTATGAGCTTCCCCTTCATGGATGCTGGGACCCAAACTCAGGTCCTCTGCAAAAGCAGATGTGCTCTTAACCATGAGCTGTCTGTACAGCCCCCAAGTAGAAAATAGCTTCCCAGAAGGCTCTCATTAGCTAAGTGTGGTGGCTCATGCCTGTAACCCAGCTCTCCAGAAACTGAGGCAGGAGGACTATCCCTAGCTCAAGGGCAGCCTGGGTACAGTGAGGTCCAGGTCAGTGTAGACTGTGGGGTAATACTCATTATACACAAACAACACAGACTGCCATTTAGTGTGAGCTTTACCTTTCAGATAACATAATTCTTCTTGAAATGATTCTGCAGCATTAGTATTAGTATTACAGCATTAGTATTACAGCATTAGTATTACATTTTAAAATGTTTGCTTCTGCCTTACAGTAGCAGCCAAATATTTACATCACTTTCTCACCTCAAGAAAATGCTATTTCTACCTTGTTTGCCCTCAAAATTTAATATAATGGAAAAGAATTCTCTAGCAAAAAAGGCCAAAATAAATAAATAAATAAATAAAGCAAATGCTGCAAACATGCTACCATTTAGCCAGTTGCAGCCTTAGCCACCCCGTTAGGAAGCTGCAGGAGCCTGTCTTCACACTGTTCTTTCAGTGGCTCAAAGAAGGAGTGAGGAGGTTGTAATGCCAGTTATGTTATGGCCTGAAGGAGAAGCTTAAGAGTGGTTCTTGGAAAAATTAATCTACTCTGTCCCTTGTTATCTTTCACGGAAGTACGAGCTCCTGGATTTCTAGACCAGCTGGTAATGACTGACTGATATGTGAAGGACCGACCAGTACAGTGAAGACTAATGCGGGCAGCACTGACACAGGAAGCCTGAGCCGTTAGGTTAACCACATCACAAAGCTTGCTCTATTTTGGATATCAGTTATTCGAGCCAATTCCCTGATTATTAGAGGATAATTCTGTTTGAATGGGGCTTTTCATTACTTAGCGATATAAATAGTCGGCCTAACTTTTAAGGCACATGTGCTGGTTAATTTTTATTATCAACCTGACACAACATAGAGTCACCTGGGAAGAGGGTACTCAGCTGAGGAACTGCCTAGATTAGATTACCTGTGGGAGTGTCTGTGGAGGATTGTCGTGACTGATGACTGACACTGTGGAGAGAAGGGTGCCCACTGTAGATATCGTCATCCCTGAGGTAGCTAGGCCGGAATGTATAAGAAAGCCAGTAGAGTGTGAGCCAGAGAGTGAGCTAGCTAGCAAAAAGTTTCCTTGGCTATGAGTTTATCCCCTGGTTGGAGGTAATGGTGTCTGAGATAACAAGCAGTCTTGTCTCAGGTTCCTGCCTTGAGTTCTTCCCTGACTTCCCTCAGTGGTGGAGCATGGCCTGGAAGTGGACGTTGAAAAGCATCTTTAAGATGCCTTATCACAGTGACAAAAGGGAACTGAGTATTTTAATCCCGTGGCAAGCTAACAACCAGAGTAAAGAAGGAGACTGCTCTTGGGTCTGCCCTCCTGTGGTGTTCCAGTCATGAGAATGTGCAGGCAGCTCTGGGTACACCATTATCTTATTCCAACTTTATTTCTCACAACTTCCCTTTGTGTTCTGTTGTAGATTACTTAATGCTTGTTATGTGTGCTCTATTTCACAGTCCTGCTGTTCTCAGTCACCATTACACAAGATGCTCATCACATACCCTTTCCATCTCTCCCGATCTAAATTCTACCCATTGTCCTTAAGACCCAGCACAAATCAATTACAAAGTGTGTTCTATTCTAGAAAGGCCATACGTTGGGTGATTATCATGGAATAAATATTCTTTGGAAAAGACATAAAAAAAAAAACTTGTTGACTCACACCAGCTAACATTTCTAGTATGTACTATGTCATATAAGATTAATTTAATTTTTGTTAACTTAAAATCAGGCCTAATTAAGGATGCTTTAGCAGGAACCATAAGGTCAAAGAAGATCTTAAGTAGTCTTTATATCTTTATGTGCAGAAAGCAAACATTGACTATAAGACTGAGTTAAAAGGAGGAGTTTGGGTTTAGCAAATGAATTCTTGAAGGAATAGTGTTGATTGTTGGGTTAAATGGGGATCAGGGCAGTGCTTGCACTGGATCTTTATCCCACCGTCTGCCCAGAGCTGCCTGGATGTCCTCCTGACTAGAACACAGCCAGGAGGGCAGACCAAATGCCCACTCTCAAGAGCAGTCTACTCCTTTACTCTGGTTGTTAGGTTACCACAGGATTAAAATGTTGAAATGAGTAATCCTCTAATACAGCAAGGGATCAAATGCACTGAGTACCAATTCTCTCGAGCCAAATAAGAGGAGTTCTTGGGAGTTCTTAGACCTATGAGATATATAAGCCTTTACAGTCCCAATAGCTACCCAAGTGAGGAAAAAGCACCTCATTTTTAAGCAATGAAAGTCTTATTATCAGCAATCTAGAATGTACTTTTAAATAAAAAGTATTTTCCCTAATCCATAAAATCCTATCTTAGAGCACTATATGGAATTACACAAGGCTTAGCTTAGCAGACCGCAGTCTTTACATGCAAGTTAATACATTTGAAGTTTTAAGCCATGAAGACTATAAAATGTGAGCCAACAAACCACATGATTCACTCCTCAATTCAGTTATGTCAACTATATGGAAGAAATTAATCACAGAGGGTGGTTCTGAGATAAACAGCCCCTCCTGACTTTATGAAGCTAATGATCTAACAGAGGGATGAGAAAAGCAAGCCAGCCAAATATGTAAGCATTTTACTTTGAAGACTGTTGGCTGAGTGTGGATGAGGGAGTGAGCATTTGCTCGTGGCAAAAGGACATGGAGAAGCTACTGCTTGAGTACTGTCTAGAAGAGTAAGATTCAGACCAGTAAAAAAAAATGATTTGTCTAGGTAGCACAAGCTTAGTTTTCAAAAGTTAAAGCAGACAACAAACCTCCATCCTCTCCCTTCCCAGACCCCTGCTGTCAGATATAACCTCTTCCAACTGTTTCTTTTACTGTCACTTAAATATTATTAAGTGTGTGAAAACTGTAATTTCCAGATTATTCTCCTTCCATTTCTGCCATTTCCTCTTCTCCTCTGTACAGTCCATGATCACACTTACTGTTTTACAGCCTGTTTATTTTATGAGTCTTTCATTTTTTCCAACTGATTTATAACAGAATACAATGCAGTGTCAAAACATACCTCTGCTGAGCTGAATTGACAGTGCATCAGTGACAACCTTAGTACCGCTGCAGACAGCTGTCTTTTCTGATACATATTTTATAGGTTTTCCTCAATTTTTGAGGGTAAGTTAAATTAAAATTTAGATAAAAGACCTGGGTAGCACATGTGGCTCACAATCATCCCTAACCCCAGTTCTAGAATGCCCTCTTCTGACTTCCATAGGCTCAGGGTGCACACATGCTATACATTCATACCTGCAGTCAAAGCACTCACATGAACAAAACAAATAAATCTTCACGTAGCGCAGGCTAGCCCAGAACTGACTCTTGAATTCCTGGTCCTTCTGCCTCTGCCTCCCAAGTGCTGAGATTATAGACCCTGTGTCCATGCTGGCTCAGATTAGATGATGATCACCAGTGAGAGCTCTGATCAACCAATAATTGACTAAAACACAAGCCCTAGGACTTTTTATATTTCAGGATGATATCTTCAATAAAACCACATTAAGCTCTAAAGGTCCCACTCTCCCTGAGGATTTATTCACAGTTAATGGCTGATGGGAAAGGGAGAGACATTCTCTTCAGTACTGTAGCCACTGGTAAGGTGCCTGTGTGCCTATAAACAAACCCGCACCCTATGCTCCTGCAACTCGTGAGGCTGCTCAGACAGGCAGAAAGTGGATGGAAGTAGAGATGAAGACATGAGAGTAGAAGGCAGTGCTTGGGAAGAGGAGGGAGAATCAGTGGGATCAGAGGGGGTGTGGTCAAAGATGCTGTGTGTCATGGAAATGCACAGTGAGACCCATTACTATGTATAATTAATATGTCCTAACAACAAACATGTTGAATACTGTCAGGTATGGTGATGCACACCTTTAATTACAGCACTAGGGAGCCAGAGGCAGGTGGGTCTCTGGGAGTTAAGAGGCCAGCCTGGTCTATAAAGTGAGTTCTCCTCCAGCCAGGACTACATAATGAAAGTACAAAGAAAAAAGACTGAATAGCAATGACACTTTGTGAGACTGCTTTTAATCCCAGCATTCAGGGGTAGAGACAGTTGGATCTCTGTGAGCTCAAGGCCAGCCAGGTCTTCAAAGCAAGCTCCAGCCCAGTCAGAGCCACAAAGTAAGACCCTATATCTCAACCTTCCCCCATATGGAATATACCTGATATGGTAGTTTGGGTGTATTTGGCCCCCATAAGCTCATAGGGAGTGGTATTAGGAGGTGTGGCTTTGTTAGAGTGGATATGGCCTTGTTAGAGGAAGTGTGTCACTGTGGGGGCGGGCTTTGAGGTCTCCTATGCTCAGGATACTGCCCAGTGACTCAGTGGACTTCCTGTTGCCTGCAAGATGTAGCCAGCACTGTGTCTGCCTGCATGCCGCCATGTTTCCCACCATAACAATAATGGCCTGACCCTCTGAACTGTAAGGAAAATTACATGTTTTCTTTATAAGAGTTGCTGTGGTCATGGTGTTCCTTCACAGCAATAGAAACCCTGACTAACACATCTGGAAACCCCAGAGAAACAGCTCATTTCCAGAGTATACACCCAGTCACTGAACAGACTATATAACCTGCAAAGTCCATGACGTCTAGAGGTGTATTGAATGCTGCGGTGATGAGTTAGCACAGTCACGGCCTTGGGTTTCATCTCCAGTGTCACAAACTAGGAGGAGAAGGCTAAAGAGTAAGAATGACTGACTGTGCTTGAGAGGATCCAGGTTTGATATCCAGCGCTCACACGATAGCTTACAGCTGTCCGTAATTCCAATTCCAGGCACCCCATGGCCTCTTCTGACAGACATGTTAGCAAAACACTCTACACATAAAATAAAACAAATAAATATTTAAAATTTCTTCTCTGTTCATAAAACCAGTATTTTGATATACTTGGTTGAAAAACCATGAGTTTAACATAGCTTGTCTGGTTCTTAATTTCTCATAGAGCAACATTGCTAAGGTACATTCTTTTCCTAGCATTTAAATCTTGTGTGTGTGTGTGTGTGTGTGTGTGTGTGTATTTCCGTGTGTATGTGTGCGTGGGTGATTCTTTAATACAGCTAAGTTAGGGTTCTGAGTGGTTTCCATTTCTGAATTAAGTAGTTCTTTTTATTTTTCTAAATCTTAATAGGATTTTTCCAATTAAAGATGTGCCCCTGGAGACGGATGACCTCACCAGCTGGCTCTACCAGCGGTTTATTGAAAAGGAGGACCTCTTGTCACACTTCTATAAGACAGGTACACAGCATCTTATACACGCTTCTGAAATTGTCAAAGACGCTAAGCATGTGCTTTAGAGGAGACAAACCGTTTCCATTACTTATTTTTATCGTTAAAATATTTCATTTTGTTATTTCTAATTATGTGTAGGGGTCACACATGCACGCACACACAAGAGAGAGAGAGAGAGAGAGAGAGAGAGAGAGAGAGAGAGAGAGAGAGAGAGCTTGTGAGTGTGTGTGCATGTGCATGGGTACAGCTGCTGGAGGAGGCCTGGGGCTTCAGAATCCCTGCAGCTGGAGCTAGGGGTGATGTGGGCCACGTGATGCGGGTGCTGGGAACAGAGCTCAGGTCCTCTGAGGAGCTGCAGATGCTCTTGACCTCTGAGCTCTCTCCAGCCCCTTTTCAGTTGTTTAGATTAAAAACCAAAGTCATTCTGTATGTAAGAATTTCAACTTAGAATTTATGGAAATAAAGTTTCTGTTGATGTGTTTAGGTTCTCTCACCAGCCGTGTACAGAATGGAGCGATGAACATGTCACATAGTGACATAACTCAAGTGTATAGGAACACAGGCAGCTTCAGGAACATGTGTAGTTACTGGATGGGGATGAAATGACATCATGCTCTGGCATTGTACTTGCTTTCTTAATATATGTTGTAGTCATTTGAAACTGCACTTTTACGTGCTTTTCCCTCCTTTCAAGGAGACGTTTATTCTCTCAAATGGTGTTAGTTCACAGTCACTCGGCCCGTTGCTTTGGGCTGCTGTCAAAGCAGAAAGTGGTTGCAGCAGAGGTGTCCTTCTCTCAGTAGGAAGCACAAGAGTCAGGGTTGTCTTTTTTTTTTTTTTTAACAAGAAAGGTTATAGTTTACTATTTTAAAGGTACAGAGTCAGTTATTTCTCCTTGGGGCGGGGGGATAGGAGCCCGTTCTTACCTCTTATATTCTCAGTATTCTAAGGTCTGTAAGAGCTACAATGAAGCTGGCCCTGACAGCACAGAGGTAGTTAGTGCCTGGAGAGCAAGAGAAGGTGTGCAGGGCAGGCAGGGCAGGGTTAATTGAAGGCTCAGCAGGCAACCCAAGACGATAGGCCTTAACTTCTCACCATCCCTCTCTTGCCTCCTGATATTGCTGAAATTGTAGCAGCGATGGCTGAAAAGCCTCTTGAAAAAGGCCGCTTGCATACCAGACCTTGAGACTGAAAACCGCCCCTGTGAGCTGCTTGTGAGCAGCAAATCCCTTATGAGCCGGCTTACTCTGGGGTTACCAGCAAGGACAAAGACTGGAATGCAAGAGTGGCAAGTGACCCTGGTCGCACTGCACCAAAGCCACTAGCTTTCCTTTCCAGAAAAAAATTTAGACATGTTTACTTTGTATTCTCTTTCTTACTGTGAAGATATGTTTTGTTAGCCTTACTGTAATTTGAGAATGTCAGTGTTATATAACTACTTTTGTGGCATATATATATGCTACTTCAGAAATTATTAGATGTCAGTTTCATAGATCCTATGTCTGACCACTGTGGAAATGTAGCTAGCTGTCCAGTAGGGAGCCAGGCAGTCTGAGTGCCTGTTGTCACCGGTTTGATTGCAGTAGAGGCGGACAGTAGGTAGACCTACAGAAGGAAAGCAAATAGACCATTGGAGACTGGGAGACAGGACGGCAGAAGGGTGGGCATTGCTTCTGATCTGGGATGGATGCTGATGCCTGAGTCAGTCACCTGGTGGGTTGCTGGACAGGCTGGGTAGCTTCACAGTTGTGTGTTAGAGGAAATCTCTGCAAAGTAGGGCAATTCACAGAAAACCTTAACTGTGGGTGAGCACTCAGCTTTATTTCAGGAGACCCCTACTGCAGGGAAACACATCACTTTCTATCTTGTCTTCTAGGAGCCTTTCCTCCTGCCCAGGGCCACAAGGAAGCTGTTTCCAGGGAGATGACCCTCAGTAACACGTGGATATTCCTCATTCAGTCCTTCGCGTTTCTGTCAGGCTATCTGTGGTTCCACGTCTTTCAGTATTTTTACCATTGCCTGTTTTAGGAACTGACTGGGACTTGCCACATAGGATTTCAGACTTCATACATGTGCATTATTTTACATGTGCAAATCTAGATATACAAATCAAAATATATAAAAAGCAAAGGAAATTCAGATGGATGGATTACTGTTTATCCCCTTTGGGATATTTTAAAACTCTGCTACAAAGAGGATCAGTAATACAATGATGTGCTAATATATTTTAAGAACTTTCGTATTTTAAAGAGATACACTCTACCATATGTTTATGCAAGCATCACACTGGGAGAAGAGGAAGTCATAAAATCATCCCAGAAGACTCCGAAAGAAACTGTCACCACCAGATGCCCTTGGTCATGCCCGTCCAGAAGCTGTGTTCCTCTTTACAAGGGCAGAGTGTCACAGTATTGATGTGCCCACCACCATGCTGAGGTACTGGTCACCTTGGAGAGCTGGCGTGCGGGCCTGAGGAGTGGCCTCCTTACCTAGCAAGCTGCAGTCCCCACCCCTGACTGAGGTGCGGCACTGGCACTCCGTGAGGAGCAGTGTCCACTGTGCACCTGCAGCACTGTGTCCCTGGAAAGGCCAGCTCAGCCCGTAACGTGTTTACATGTGCTAGTGCACTCCCTTCTGTCGGGGAGGGGACACCCACTTTCTCTTTTTGTATAGAAGGCACATCATAGAATGATAATTGTATTTTATAAAATGCACTTTTATCAGATGCAAATATAGCAAAGGCTAGCAACGTAGCCTGAAGCCAAGGGCAGCCTCACCATGGGCAGGCTCACCATGGGCAGCCTCACCATGGGCAGGCTCCCAGGAGGCTTCCTGTCTGCGCTTGCCCGTGATGTGCTCCAGCACCACCTGCATTGGGCACCTCCCCCAGTCTGACATAGTAGCACCAAATGTATTTGGGGGTAGTTAAAGCAAATTAATGTAAACCATTTAAATGGCCAGTTTAAGGGAAATAGACTAGCTTATTAGGAAATAAAAGGTAGAACCAGACATTGGCTTGCAGTATTGGCAAGACCTCCTGTGGCCCCCAGAATCTGTGCAGACATCATTTTGTTTTGTCATTATGTCAAGTAAATGCCCTTCTCAGGGTGGCAGGACCAGGAGACAGCAGCTCAATACACTTCCTAGCTTCTTCCAGTTGTTTTTGAAGAGGACAAAGTCAAGCAAGTTTTTGTTCATTTCTAGAAAACTTTTAAATTTTTGTCATTGTGTTCATATACTTACCTCATAGGAGAGCCAAACTGTGTAAGAAGTGCAGGCACTGCACCAGTGTTGGGACAGAGCGTGGGTTTGGTTTAGGATGGTAAAATTCCCAAACTTGAATATGTCAGCAGTAGTTTTTTGTGGCATGACCACTGTAGATTCCCCCATTGTTACTAACAGCACAAATAATAATTCTGAGAAATAGGCTGTAAAACAAAAATTAAAGACTAATGTTTTCTGCTTTCAAATAAACCAAAAGAGGAAAAGATGTGGATTTTCCCTAGTTGTAGAGGAAAGGTTGACCAACACCAAATAAAAGCCCACAGCAGCTTCATGTTTAGCAAACCCAGAGCATGTGTGGAAGAGAATGACATGTTACTTGAAAGACCTCACTAGTCCCACACCCCTGCTGTTAAGCTGCAGAAGACATTGGGTTTGGTAGCAGTTGTTATGAAAACGGCTGTCTTGGAACCTAAGCATTTTACTCTGGTTTGCAGGGACAGTGAATAGGTGAAGAAAGCAGAGAGGTGCCATTTGGTGCTTCTGCTTGAGGCAGGAAAGACTCTTCTGGTGCAGGATAGATTGAATTGAGACATTAGTTGTCATCTAGGGGAGGAGTTGTTCACTGTCCAGTATAGCATGCAGTCCTGGCTAGCAGACCATTTCATCATCGCAAAGCCAGCCAGTTCCGTGCAGACAGAAACGTGACTCTGGCCTACTTGTACCGCCGCTGTGCTCCAAAGGAAGATGACCGTTGAGTATACTGTACCTGTCAAAGCCACCCCCTAAGATGTGTTACTTTCAAATGCAGTTTCATTTCCAAGTCTCCAGAGTGACAAATAACTATAGATCTGTGACCTAACTTTTGATAATAGACATGAGCTGTAAATAGACATATACTTGATCTGTCCTACACTCTTCAGTTCTTTCAGCATGTCTTCTGTGTGCAAAATATGTTTGAGAGTATTGACAGAGCTTCCCTATCAGTAACTGGAGTCCACCTGCTTGTACTAGGGAGTGTGAAGAGAGAGTAGGGGTTCTTTATGGCAATCTGGGAAAGCCGAAATATGCCACTGTAGAGAACTGAATAAAATTCCCCGTTTGTACTTAGTATATAAAGTGGGATAAAGGAAGCTAATGTGTTAAGTCGGGCAAAGAGATTACAGCCATGCCAGTTTACACCAACATTCTTTAGAGCTGCAGCTTTTTGCTTTCAGCTGGGCTGCCTGGCTTCCTGCAGACAGGCTGGGCGACTCACTGCTATAGTCCTTAGACCACAGGGTAGACCAAGCAGCAGTTCACCCTGCCCAACTTCAGAAATGTGCACACAGCAGAGAAGCCTGTAAGCAATGGAAGCGAAGGAAGGCCAGAGTGGGGTGAGGCTGGAAGATAGACAAGTTAGATGAGGATTTAATAAAGTATGAAAAGGGTAGCTGTGGATTCAGATCTGTCATGTATGAGTTTTTGGTATGACAACTCTTAAATTCTTACAGCAAGAAACTAGGGATTGCTGAATAGGTAGTCAATTACAGGGTAGCTAATCCAGTATTAAATCATAGGAAGCCAAAAATTAAATTTTGTGTAGGAATTTCTGACAACCAGCAGGAAGAGGATACACCAAAGCCAGCACACCCCAGGGGCTGGAAAGGCATCCCTGAACAAGACAGTTGGTGCAGCGGGAATTGTTCCAGAGAAGGAGTCTTCAGTCACCAGGGTGGGCCTCTGATGTGGTCGTAATGCCACTGTTTGGATCAGTGGTGGGCATGCCGCTTCATTCATGGCCATGGGTGTGGCTCCCTTCTCATTAACTTGTCTTAGTGATGTGTTTTGACAATCTGTAGACTAAAGACTCTTTATCAACTTAGGTCCTGGGTGTAGTCACAGAAAGTAGTCTTTGATTGTAGGTGGTCTTCTGTATCCCGTTTATGTTTTGTTTGCACTACTGAACAGGAGGGGTTAGCTGATATTTTTCCGGTTTTTCATCCTTTTCTGTGAAGTCCCTGCACAATAGTGAACACAGGATTTCCCTCCAGAGTTACCAGTACAAAAAGTGTATCAGTGCTGGTCCACAAAGGGTGGATAATAACGGTGTCTTCTATGGGATTTTGTCCTGCAAGTCATGTAAGCCTTCTGTCTGCAGGCAGGAGGATCAGAGGAGCTCTGAGTCACAGTCATGCTAGCACACGTCATGATGGGGAGAGACTAATGTGTTTGGGACCAAAACCACCCAAGTTGGAAATTTCTGGATCACAAAGGAGCCTGGCATACCCTGAAGCCGTCACTGGTTGGTGCTGTCTGGCGGCCGTGCTGCACCAGCCCTCAGTAGTTACAAAGTGGGCTCTGAGAGTATGCTGCGGGTTCTGAGCTGGTGGGGACTATGGCCATGGTCAGGTGAAAGATACAATCTGGGGCTTTCTGCAGAAATTCCATCTGAGGATTTTTACATGTAATATTTTTTTAAAAGTCTAAAGAGCAAAAAAATGTATAGTTGCAAAGTATGCAAACGCTTTGGATGACTTTATTTTTATTATGTAAACTGTTGAACACGACTGTGGTGTACAAACTCTTTACATGTAAGGAGTCCATGCACTTTACAGTAACCTTTGTGATTCGGTAATGAGACAGTTATACATCCAACTGCCATTATTTTTTATTAAGTGCTTTCTTTTTCTTTACAATTATTACAAAGTTGTATTTATTTTCTACAGATGGATTTTTGTTTTCATGATGCTGTAATGTTTACTTCAGCTTGTTGAGCTTTCTTTGTGATCTGCATGTCACTATGTGTGTTTTAAGAATGACTGTAAAGGCTGTGGTAACTGTCATTCACTTTTGTAAAGGGCTGGTCACACGTGGATCTGGTTTCTGAATGCATTGGATGATTTTGCCAGATCACCTTTTCAGAAATTTAAATATTGTGAATACCAAAAGAAGCATTTTCTCAGCAAAAATTAATAGCTGGTTCTATTTTTTTTTTAATGTAGAGAAAATAAAGTTGAATTTTTTTCCCCAAAACAATGCTTTTAATTCTTAATAGTAGGGTGGGTGTCTGTGCTGTCCTGGAGTTGCTCAGCGCCTGCTGCTGCGGCTTATGCCTGGAGCTCAGCATCCAATGGCCTGGCCTGTGAGAAAACCATCCGGCTCCTCCCAGGACTTAAAAGATTTGCCTTCCTCCAGTCTTACCATGTGGTGTGTTCTGGCAAATGTTGAGCAGTCCTCTCTCTTGGAAAGAATTATGTATGTAAGTGCACATACATATGTGATAAATTTTACTGATAGCAGATATTTTAAGCAATTAGCAAATGATAAAATGTAAATAATTGATTTTTATAATATGATTGTCATTGTATTGAACCCTTAGAGCCAACCTGAATATCAACCATGATTTGATTGATGGCAATATGTCCTGATACACTAACCATCTATCTCCACACACACTATCATTTAGTCTAGTGTATGGCTCATTGCTAAACTCTTAGCCTCCTTGTAGCTTCAGCATTAATTGGGAGTTTAGATAATTTATTTTTAATTATATCAGCACCCTAAAATGAAATGATCAGAAGCCAGGAGGTGGTGTGGCTCACACCTTTAATCCCAGCACTCAGGAGGCAGAGGCAGGCAGATCTATGTGAGTTCAAGGCCAGCCTGGTCTACAGAGTGAGTTCCAGGACAGCCAGGGCTGTTACACAGAGAAACCCTGTCTCAAAAAAACCAAAAACAAAAGCAAATTAAATGATAAGCTCTTGGAGGCAAGTCTGAGCTACCTTCATCACACCACTGTCCTGGTCCTTTTATGTTTTGATTTGATTTATTAACATTGAATAAAATTCATAGAATTGATTTACTTATTGGTCCAAGAAAAATCCTATCCTTGACACTTGCAGGTTTTAAAGTGTGGGGAAAAGTTCCGAAATCAACATGACCAAGTAGCTTCTGATTGTGAGGAGTCTGGGGACAGCAAGGTTTTCAGGAAGCACAGCGGCGGCCAGCTCTCCTTGTTTCTCAGAGCTGAGTAAATGTGGTATGCCTATCCCCACCAAAAAAAAAAACCAAAAAAAAAAAACCGGTTTGTTTGTTTTTTAACATTAAGAACATTGATGGTTTAGTGTCTTGTTTGTAAAATACCTTTGACCCCAATGAAAACTTTTAATGTATGAAAATGTCTCGCACAATCCTACCAAATAAGTTAAATCGTATGGTTCAGTCTACCTCTTCTTTTCCTGGATTTAGGCTGCTGGTTGGGTGGGGCAGCAGTTTTATTTCCCCTCTGAAGTACTTTATGTGGAAGACAACAGACTGGGGGACTGAGGCCTGAAAGCAGATTAGAGGCTCTTTGAGATCTGTTGCTGACCAGCCCTGTTCCCCATGAGTTGGGGAAAAGCCATTGTTTTTAATTCCCACTTAATATGAAAATGTTTGTTTTAAAAATTGTTTCTTGCTGGTGAAAAATGTATTTTTAAAAGGAAAAACCAAATCCTCTTTTGGTCTGAGGAGTCAGCTGTATGAGCAGGTGTGACCGTATCATAACATGCTGATGTCATAGAAATCAATAAATTTTTACCTCTCAGGAGTCGGGTGACCTTGTTCTTAACTTAAAGCCTAAAGGCCCACAGTTCAGGATGCACAGAAACAAACCTGCAAATGCAACCGGGGTGTAGGGAGAGGCTGGCTGACCGCCAGTGCTCAGTGGGTAGATGAAGCCAGTGTACAAGGAAGAAACTGAAACCAAGGAGTTGCCGTGGTTCTCACTCCCAGAAGACGCTCTAGGGGGTAGAGATAGGCACTTGTTTGGTTGAAGCAGGGGATTTCTTATTTTTATGTGTGGGTGTTTTTTTACCTGCAGGTTTGACTGTGTGCCATGTCCCTACATGGTGGCCCCTGAGGCCAGAGGAGGCATCTGGTCCCCTGGTACGGGAGTTATAGACAGTTTTAAGTTGCCATCTGGGTGGTAGGAATTAAACCTGGGTCCTCTGAAAGAGAAGCCAGTCAGTGCTCTTAACCACTGAGCCGTCCGTCCAGCCCTGCGTGGTAGTAATGAGAAAACATGGGACTGAGTATGATACCCTCAAGTTACCAGTTTCTGGCTTGTATTCCTCTGTTTCACTTTGGGCCCCAAAACCACCAAGTCTTATCTGCAATTTTCTATTAGGTAATACTGTATCAGGACCAGCTGGCAGTCAGTTGAGGATACAGAAAATAGGTACCCCCAAAAAAAGAGCAATCAGAAGAATTGTGGTGCTGAGAAGAGGAACCCCAGATAGTGGGTGACAAAAGGAAGGCCAGGTGCTCTGTCCACAGCAGCTGTGCACACTCCAGATACATGGACTGTAATGAAGGTTAGTACTAGAAAGTCAACCTCCATATCACCTCTAACCTAAAGACTGCCTGCCATTCATGTACACCTACCTCCCATTCTAGGTGACTGTCCCCCAAACAGGACAAAGGCATGCTTAAGTCATTAGGAGTTCCAACAAAGGGACGGTTCACAATGCTGACGACTCAAGCCCTTGCTATAACCAAAGTATCTAAGTCCACAATAAAGCTTCTTGTCTACCCTGGTATGTGCGTGTTCCAGTAAGGACAAAGGGCGGCACCAGGATTTGAATCTGTCTTGGATACCTTGTGAATTTTCCAATGTGAGACAATGGCAATGGGAAGTCGGGGCTTCCAAAAGCACAAGTAGAGGCCAACAAGACCATCTCAGGAACAACACCACATCACTTTCACCACTATATTCTCTGGTTAAAGTTAGTGTAGGTTCAGGATGGGAGGTTCTAAAAATTACCTTCCCATACTGAATGGAAGGAGTCAGAAGTCATCTTTGAAAATGAGCCATAGCGTACAACATTCCTCAGCTGCTTGAATAAGGGATATCAGTTAGGTGTGGAAGAGTTCTCACGCTTGCAAATTTGCCAGCAATATCAGTTGGAAATGCTTTGAGTTCCCAAATACTTAGAGGTTATGCTGCCACTCATTTGTGTAAGTCATGCTAACCAAATGAATGAGCACTTAGCAAAGAGGTTTTGGCTCGTGCCTAGCATGCACAAGTCCTGGATTCAGTCCTGAGAACCGCAGAATAAAAAGATTGTTTTTGCCAAACATTGTGGGGCATCTGTAATCCTAGGAACTCAGGTGGTGGCGGAAGCTGGAAGAGGGAACGTTCAAGCCTAGACCGGATTACAGAGTGGTGAGTTGGAGACCAACCTAGGCTAGAGTAAGACTCAGCTCAGAAGAGAGATTTTGTTGATCGGTCTGCATGGTTTGCGGCACTGGTCGGCACACAGCACACTGGCCTTTGAGGTTTCAGAGTTCCTGAGAACTTTGGAATTTCCTTCTTTGGGGACGGTGGGTTTCCTTGTGTAGTTTCAACCATCGCCAGCTGCTTAGAGAGCTGAGAACCTAACAGTTTCTCGGTCCCCAGATCGAAAGTTGGTTTCTGTGGGAGCCTCTGGTTTTAGTAAATAAGAAAATGTCAGAGCTGGAGAGATGGCTACAGCAGTTAAGAGTACATACTGTTCTTGCAGAGGACCCAAGTTCAATTCCCAGCACCCTTGTTGGGCAGCTCACAGCCGCCTGTGTCTCCCAGGCCAGGGAATTAGATATGTTCTTCTGAACCCAGTAGTACCTACACTAGCCTACACAGACAAACATAATTTTAAGTACAGAATTCTCTTTTGTACAGAATGCTGAGGATTAAGTACACATGTTGAAAGGCTGGTGGATTTCAAAGCTCTGCAGTTTCATTTTCCTCAATTTTGAAGTGAGCATGATAGCTACAAACCCTAAAGGATGATTTCTTAGCTCTGGCACAGACACCATTAACCTAAAAAGTGTTTGAAGTCTGTGGCTTTGCCATTTTCCATGTGGAGGTGACATGTTTTGCTGTGTTCAGTGGTAGAGGGAGAGAATGCCTTCATTTCACGCTGAAGGGAATAGACTCTGATCCCATAATACTTCTGTTCAGAATTCTAGGTCTGAAACAGGCAGAGAGCAACTAGTAGCACCTGGTGTCATGTGTCCTTCCATCACAGTCAGGGCCCACAGAAGAGGGCCAGGATATGAGGCTCCACCTTGGAGTTGAACCCCAACTCTGCCCGTTGACCGATTTTTCTTTTCAGCCTCTCTCCTTATGTGTCACATAGGTAATGGTCAAGGAATGATTTTCAGTTTAATGAGACATCGTGCAGGACACCCATAGGATGGGTGTGCTCTGTATTGAAGGCTCGGTCGGGAGTGTGTTCTGCCCCAGTTAGGCTCAATGGAGGATGTGAAGCCTTTCTGTCCGAGGTGTCCCATCTCTCCACATGTCCTCTCTCATGCACAAAGGCTATGGATGTCCACTGGAGTATTTTCCAGAGCCTTGAGTTCCTTGAGTTTCTAACAGACAAACCGCTGACCCCACACAGACTATCCAATGCAGGAAAGAGCTTTGAGGTTGGAGAAGCAATTAGGAAGGCAGGGAGACGGCAGTATAAGAAGGAAACCGGATCTGCTGGGCAGAAGACATGACATACTCTTAACAGAAACCTGCTTTTGCTTCTGAGACATGATGTCACCTGTGGTACAGACCTTGAACTATTTATCAGAAGGGAAAGAAATATGATTTCTGGTGTTTGGAAGCTGTTCTCCTGCCATGGCCCCTCTCTGTAGCTCTTAGAATGGTAAGTGTGGCATTCAGAGCCCTTAAAGCTTCAAAGAGGTCAGTGAAGTCCTGAGAACCATTCTGTCTAGTTCCAAAAGTTCCTGAGCCTGCCTTGAGATTTGACACTTTCCACTATTTAGTGCTATGCTGGGTGCTCAGTTCTGAGGGCAGTGCAGGGGTGGGTCTGGCTGATGTTTACTGGGGGAGGGTGATACTGGGCGGCCGGTGCTGGACAGCAGGATGAAGAACTGGCCTTTCCAGTGGCTCTCACAAGTGCAATGGTGTAGAGCTCATGTTTTGGTTGACCCTGTTCCCTCTAGTGTGGGTCTGCGGTAAACACCCCATGGTCCTTGAAGCTTCTGTGCCCTTTACTTTGCCTGCCATTTTTCACAGCCACCACAGCCCCCTTGCCTTCTGTGACTGATGTTGCTGACTGGCTGTTTGGAGCAGTTGCTGTTGCTTTTACTTTGTAGTTTCTGCATTTATGCCCTTGGGCAATGGTTGAGGGAGACTCCGGGACCCAGCTTGGTTCTTCCATCTTTATACAGATGTCTACACATACAGGGAAAATCCACTTGGACTCCTTTCATCTTGGGACATCCGAGAAAAAGGCACTTGGGAGTGGGGGAGTGGGGGAGGAGAGAGTTGAGCACAAGAAAGTAGAAATGACTTCCTTTGTGCCCAGTGAAAACTTCCAGATGAGGTGAGAAGCCCAGGGCGGCTTCAGAGAGAAGAAGGCTGCTCTGGCAGGTTTGATGGTTCTGAGAAGGCCCACCGTGCTTCTTAGAGGAGAGAACACTCAAAGAGCACTTGAATGGAGTCCACAGGGACAGGCACTCTCTTGTCACTGGAAGATATCACCCAGAGGCCGGGCAAGTTGGTGCCAGGGTGAGCATGGGTGGGAGACTCCAGCTGGGGAGGATGGGAAGAGCTGTTCCTATTCCCTGCCCCCACTGTCCTCATAACCTTGTCACTGGGTGCCTGATAAAAGCCTCCACTGTGCTGGCTTTTCTGTTGCTCTCTAGGGAGGGAGGAGCAGTGAGCTCAGCCGAACCCTTGCTCTCATCACTGTAGTGTCCTCTCCCAGCTGAGCCCACCAGGAACAGCCATCATCAGTGTGACCCAGCGCAAAGTAAAATTGCCAAGGTCCTGGTTCAAAGCGTTAAGAGTTATGGCAATGTTCAGAACACTAAAGCAAATGGAGGTCACACTCTCAAAATGTCAGTCCTCAGGGTACCAGCATTAAGAGGCTATGTAGACACACACACACACACACACACACACACACA